GTTAACTATTTTAGATGTACTCGTTAAAATTCAAATAAGAATGAAAAACTATACGAGCAATATGCATAATGTGGTTGTATTTTGATTATTGCTTTATTAAGTGATACAATATTATCAAACGTTTCAGTCTTAATTTGGACCTTTTTCTGTGTAAATATTTCTGTCTGAACTTGTTTTAACGCATGTTAACTATGCTTAATAATATACTCTTAACTATATGTATTACATATACTTAATAAATAATATTTAATTCAATAAATATTATGTAATGTTTTTAGTATCTTATTTTATATTTAATATCTTAATTTAATATTTTTAATATAATCACAAAGGTATATGGATTTTCAGCACTAGTTTTATGATATTATCAAGAAATTCTAATGATTGTGCAAAAATCTTCACAATAATAAAAAAAATTACTAACTATATAATTTTAATTGATGATAATTTTTAATAACATAGAATTTTTAAAAATATTAGAAATTAATACTCAATAGTTGAATTTTGATATTATATTTTGATATTATCAAGAAATTTCTAATAATTACAAATTTTCAAAAGATAATAAAATTCAACTAAATGGTATTGATTAATGATATTTTTAAATTGTATGCTATTAAAAATTATCGTTAATCAAAATTATAGTTAGTATTTTTCTTTATTGTGAACATTTGCAATCATTAGAATTTCTTGATAATATCATAAAAGTAGTGCTGGCAAAAAGGAATCTATATATTTTCAGGGTCTAAAGCGGGTCAACGGAGGGTTTTAACTAAACCCTACTTTGAAGCTTTAGCAGGAAAAAAGGAAATTTCGGACATATTGTAGCGCCAAAGTAGGTGCTATTATATACATACGATACAATGCATAACATCTACTTTGACTCTCTTATGCCTACCTCAAAATAAAAGATTAAGGTTCAATATAGGTGCTAAATTTCGACTCGGGAACGAAACGGCTCGACATTTCTACACCATGAATCCTTCACGTTCGAAGAAAACACGTAAGGGAATTTTTACGATTCCCGGAACGCCACTTCCTTTTATTTTTACGTTTAACTTATAGAACATCTGGAAACATTAATGGCGCAATTAACGGACGGAAGTACTGCAGCAACACGGTCAATATTGTACACACGTCTCTAGAAGTCACTTCTCGAAATAACAGTACGATAAAAACAGACATAATTTTCACTTTTAATTCTCAGTAAGGCAAATTTCGAAAAAGTCTCTCTATTTTCGTCAGATTAATTTATTGTACAATAAAGTGTATTAATATCCTGATTAGCAGAATTCAGCTTATTTTATCTCAGAAATTGAATTACCAATCGGTAATCATGAATTGAAAATGAATAGAAAATGAACGACTACAAATAAATGCGGAAAGAGGAAAGCGAGCGTCATTATCAATGTGTAGTCGGGCAAATAACGATGAATAGAAATTTCAATAAATCAACCGTGATTCGCAGCAATGACCAACAGCAACGCGTGCGTATTGTATTATAAAACAATCCGCTCTATTTAAATGTACAGCGCATACATTCACGGCAATCAGAGCGTGCAGCTTTGGTACCCCTAAATTTTCTATTCCTCTTTTATCGCGATCACCATTTCGATCACGATCGCAAATCGACGTTGAAACAATCAGCATCCTCTTGCGTAAAACGTAAAATTTATCGAAGGAGAAGCAAGATAAGATTTTATTTGAACGGAAACCTCGTGCTCATAGAGCCGCGTAACTACGGATTGCGACGTTGGTAACGCAAGGTTACGAAGGGCTTGCTGAAGCCGGGACATTGTTAACCGCATTGCTGCCTAATTAACCGCAAACGCTTTCAGTGGATTTCGCCTGGTCTATTGTTTACATGCGGGCATGTCGCCTGTATGTATAGCACTCCTCCACGGTTGAACCAGTTGAAATATTTCCATGGAGATTCTCTCTCCCTTTGTGACACAATCGTGCGTGTGGATACACGTATTTCAATGGATTCCTATGCGTACGCGCAACACGGCGTGTCGGAAATAACGCCTGATAATAGCGCAATCGTGTCTCTTGCAAGCGTCCTCGTTGTATTAGCGCGCGGATATGTTTCGTTTTGAGATTTAAAGTTCTTGATGAAAGATATATTTCTGGAATTTAATTCTGCGGATTCGTCGTCAGAGCTTTGAAAATTCAGAAAATCGGGTGTTAAGGGCGTTAACGAAGTGCATCTTGCACGCCCGACAGCTCTTTTCATTTATATTCCCAACTGTCAATATTGCGAGAAGAGAGATTGTACGTGATGTGCATGCGTGTGGAAACTTGAAAGCAGAAATCTCTGGATAATTTGATTCCTTAGCTTGTGATTGCAGAAACAATCAGATCGGAAAATTGCTTATTGGCCTGTGGAACGACCGCTCTTAGGTTTGTTCCCTGCGGCGAGAACATTGTTGACCTTACATGAGTCAACAATCATTCCGTTGCTGCTGTACCCGATATTCTTAATACCTGAAATCTCGTTAATTTCATAAACATATTTCTTCAAATGAAATATTACAGAATCGCAATAATTAGTATGAAAAATGTATTGATATATGGGTATAATTATAGATTTTCTATCATAATTATTAATGCCTTATCTTCCTTTAATTTATACATAAGTTCTTTATGATCACAATTTTTCTCCCCGGAATCTATTAACCGCCAGTCTCTTCTCCCCCTTTTGCGTGCTCTAAGAGCCTTGAAAAAAATTACTTCCATTTTCCTCTGTCCACAAGAAGCTGCTATCGCGATAAAAGCTTCGCTGCAAAATAAGTTATTCATAATCAATACCGCGAGAACCTCAGCGTGGTAGCGTGCTCGGATTTAAAGATCGCCCGTAAATCAATCGCCGCGTCATTAATTTACACACCGGCGGCCGTTGATCTTGAAAGGGAACCGGGACGGGAAGCTCATCAATTATATCATCCGCATAATAAGTCCGCGATAATCGAGGTAGATATATCTTTCGCTTTGAGTATTACTTTTACTGTCTTTTTCTCGGGGCGCGAGACGGCGGCTGCCATGACTTGCGCGCGCGCGACTCGCTGGAAAAGCGTAACGTGCCCGTGCGTTTGTCACGCGAGCGTATATATCTGTGCGTTCCTCGCGTGTCTTCACGCAACGTATCTGCCTCGAGAGGGTTCGTAATAACTCCTGGTATAATTCCTCGGTTTCTCAGGCTACGACAAGACAAGGGCGGCGGCGCGTGGTGCCCGAGAAATATGGTAACCAAGGAGGGCAAGGAATACCTGGAGGTGAATCTGCACTCTCCGCGTTTACTGACGTCCACGAAAACGCAGGGCAGATTCGGCAACGGTCACGGGGTCGAGTACACCGAGGAGTACTTTGTCGAGTATTGGCGGCCGGGGTTCAACAAGTGGGTGCGATGGAGGAATCGACATGGTATGGAGGTAGGTACCATCTGGCCGGGTCATCGATCGAATCGCGCCCGAGATTTCTTTCCTGGGGACCGTAAGCCGGAATTGACTGCACGTCTGCAGATATTAGGTGATTCTCTGAGTTTCTCTATTAGTCGGCCGTACACGACTACATAGATTCGCTTGGAGTACGCGTACTTTTTTTTTGAAATAACAATAAAAGGGTTATTAAATTTTTGTATGTTTTTTTATAAACGATTTTATGATAGATATTTACGCCGAATTTTTAAATATACGTGATCATTTCGGCTATTGTATTTATTTTACGTTTCTAGACGAGAGAATATATTTTTTGATTTTTATTCCAAATCTAAAGTCAAAGAAAGTAGTTCTCTTTCTCTTTTGCATTTTCATTTTTGCGAAATAATTGCATATTTTTCACACCGAGATACGACGCTGCAGTTCATTTCGCACAGCACTATAAAAAATCATCAAACTTTTCAATTGAATTTCGTTTTAAGTTCGCGGCGTCATGCCGAAATTCTTTTCGACGCTCCGCGCGAGTTTTATGCAGGCGTTATGCGGTGGGAATTGAAGATGAAATATTGGAAAATCGCAGAACGAAATTTATTTTCTGCCAATAAATCTCATCATTTCGTGTCATATTGTGAAGACGGATTGCTCGATATAGCAGTTCAATATAAATGCAACCTGCGTCGTGCTAATCTTATGTATATATCACTGGCTAATCTCTACTCGCTATATCGTGAATAGATATGTACTCACCCTTTTAGCCATAATGCGAAATATCTGCCGATCTCACCTCCTATCTATAATTATAATTACATAACTTGATACTAACGTCCTATTTCTCATTCTATATATTATATATACACACACATATATATATTTATGTATATGCATACACTTCACACATATGTCGAGAGGAAATTAGCAGAGTTCATACGAAACGGCTCGATTTCCTGGATTTAACTCAAGTTCCTTCTCCTGGCTTATTCAGCATAGTTACAAATTGATAAAGCTACCGCCGTCTGCTTTAATCCGATATGAGAAACATAAAGCGATTTTATCTACATCATTGCATTTGTTAATACATCACAAAAACATTTCATCGCACTTTAGTAAGTTTAGGTATCGCTAATTACAAAACAATTTCACAGTTTCCTTAAATACACTGCATACATTTAAGGATTTCTATGTGTCTACTAATTCTGTATTATTCATCGAAAATGATGGTTTTAGCCTGGTTCTGTGAAACAAAAGCCCGACTGTTAATTCTGTCCTTTTCAGCGAGTATATCTAGTGGAAATACGATTATTTGGTCCGACGGACTTCCAAAGCGCTCCGCGATTTATGTTCTCAAAATCTTTGAGAATTATACGTTTACTGAAGATTCTTTCACATGTCCATTTTTTATAATCGCATTACTTTACCAGTAAGTCAATTTACCATGAATACGATAAATTAATCAAGATAATTTGATTAAATTACGTACAGTAATTTAAAAATCGGTAACTTACAATACTTTATAATCTTAATAATAGCGGACAAAAATTTTTCATAAAATTTAGTTAATTATTTTGTTGTGTTCTCATATCTTTTAAATGTGTTGAATACTATTCTTATATTAAATTATTACATTATTTTATTTGCATTATCATTAGAATATTAGATTATTTTATTTTCATTATTATTAGAATATTAGATTAATTTATTTGCAGTTTGTAGTAAAATATTATATATGCAAACTTATTTCTTATTATTTTCCAATTTATTTTAATGGTGCTTGCACAATTACTGATGATTTTCGACCTCTTCACATCTAGGAAACGCTATGCGCGATACGGCCATTGTACAAATGAGAACCTCTGTCCCGGTTGAACGGCTATTACTGGATGCGACGTGTTAATTAACGTCTCTTTAGCATGATAATCCGTACGCGATATCCATTAGCCCGTCAAAATACATCACGGTGGTTAAGCGATTTGCTCGCGGCGACGAAACTACGCAGGGATAGTCCCATGGACGTAATCTTAAATCTTCCAAAAAAAGGTTGTTGTATATATAAACCTTTCAAAAAAAGCTGTCGTATATATTATATATTAACCTTCCAAAAAATTTATCTTCCACAAAAAAATGTATATATATTAACAAATAACAAACCTTTCAAAAAAAGTTGTTGTATATATAACCAAATAAAAATTTGCTATATATTCTGCCTATAAAAGAGGTGATATCAGAAAATGACGCCAAGTTTAAATAAAAAACCTTTCAAAAAAAGTTAGTATGTATATATTTAAAAAAAAGTTGTATATACCAAATAAAAATTCGCTATATATTCTGTCTATAAAAGAGGTGATATCAGAAAATGACGCCAAGTTTAAATAAAAACCTTTTAAAAAACTTGTATGTATATATATTACGAAAAAGGATTATATTTATTATATTTAATTATATTTATTATATTTATTTATTAAAAAATTTTTCAAATTTAATCAAAATAAAAAAATATTACAAAATTTCGCAAAAAACTTGGCGCTGCTGTACTAAACTATTAACTTACATAAGATTTGCATCGCAATACTTTAACATGCTCCTAATCATTCCAACATACTTTAATCTATAGTATATGTGACGTAATACTATAGTTTAGTTTGGAGTATTAGAACGAGTAGGAGCATGTTAGAGCAAGCGATGCAAACAAATTTCGGCTCAAACAGACTAGAGCGGCGAAGCGGCAAGTGGCGATGCTATAGCTAATCAACTTACAATTTTACCGTAAGAACAAGAGTTTAATTGGCTATCGCGTCGCCGTTTGCCGCTCTGGTCAGTTTGAGTCATTATAACACTTAATCATGTAAATTGTAAAATTATTGCTCATTTTCATTCTCTATAATATTTTAAGATGTATTTAACATGTAGTTCAGTACAGCAGCGCCAAGTTTTTTGCGAAATTTTGTAATATTTTTTTATTTTGATTAAATTTGAAAAATTTTTTAATAAATAAATATAATAAATATAATTAAATATAATAAATATAATCCTTTTTCGTAATATATATACATACAAGTTTTTTTAAAAGGTTTTTTATTTAAACTTGGCGTCATTTTCTGATATCACCTCTTTTATAGACAGAATATATAGCGAATTTTTATTTGGTATATACAACTTTTTTTTAAATATATACATACAACTTTTTTTGAAAGGCTTTTTATTTAAACTTGGCGTCATTTTCTGATATCACCTCTTTTATAGGCAGAATATATAGCAAATTTTTATTTGGTTATATATACAACAACTTTTTTTGAAAGGTTTGTTATTTGTTAATATATATACATTTTTTTGTGGAAGATAAATTTTTTGGAAGGTTAATATATAATATATACGACAGCTTTTTTTGAAAGGTTTATATATACAACAACTTTTTTTTGGAAGATTTGCGTGCACTTGGCGTCCTTTTCTTTACCTTTTTTTAAAAAGGTAATTTGTTGATTTTCAAATATACAACAACTTTTTTGTTAGGTAAAATACACAACAACTTTTTTGTAAGGTTTGCGTGTTTATATATACAACAACTTTTTTGGAAGGTTTGCGTGTATATTTAGATGTACCTTAAAGTTCATGTTCTCTATTTGTAATATTATAGTTTATTTTTGTGCACGAGTATAATGTAAATGAAAAACTATCTTCCAATGTTTTCACCAAACGAATTAATTTCGGTATAAAATTAATTTTATAAAATGACTTGCTATAATGCACTTACTTTCTCACCACGCGTGGTATTGTTATTCGACGAAGTTTTGCCGGCTGTAGAATTAAATGTCTCCATTTTTCGTGTGTGTTAGAATGCAAAGCTTTTAATACGAGTTTGAATAGTATTCATAAAACTTAATGAAAATTTATTTAGATAAAAAAACAATGGTTTGTACTTTATAAAA